AAGCACCCGCGCTTTACGACAGATCGCAACCCTCGCAATGACAGCGGCCACCGACTGCACCGCGTGGATCAGTCGTTTCCTCCCAAACGAGTGCAGCAATTCGAGGTTAGGGGCCGATGTAGTGGGCCTCTATCGAGGGCGGTGGATGTCGCTGGAAGAACAGACCGAGCAGGGCCTTTCGAATCCCATAAAAAGTAGTGGCGGCCACGACGGCGCACTCTACTCTTGGACCAAGAACTCAAGTCAGACAGCTGCCAACTTTACTTTAATGAAACTAGCTTGAATGCTGTGTGAATGTAGAAAAATAAATTACTAACCTATATAATAACAATTTACGTAGAATATATAATATAGTATAACAAAACTGATCTTAGTGTAAGTTAGTAATGCCAAAGTGCAAGTAAGTTAACTTTAGGCCTAGAATGTAAATTAGTTGTAAGAAAAAGCCCCGCCTCTAGCTGCTTAAGCCGCACGGCAGCAGCAAAATGTATAAACATTTAAAGATAATAAATTCCCCTTCTGGAATTACTGGGGAGTTACTGTGGAGGGGACAAAAGGGGGGACAACTTTACTTGGAAGCGCGTGAGCTAGAACAGGCGTGATTTCTGTCGTGGTTACCAATAGGATGTTCGCACATTATACATATTCGTTTTTGTTCTTCTAGTAAGTATTATTGTAGGTAATACCACGGGTACAATGATTATTTCGAATGAATTCGTCAGTCGTTGAGCAACGAGGGATTTTTTTTATTAATTTATTTATTCACGAGTGGCATATACTAAGATGATTTCACGAACGAAACTACCTACAAAAAAAGTTTCAGAATGCGACAAATACTGTAATTTGGTACAATAGATCTTTACGAGGTAAGGCCTAACGGCAGCGTTCCGACCGAGCGGCCATGGGTTAAGGGGTACGTGTGGTAAATACATAGCCATCCATAAGTTGTATTTCTTATATTCTCAATCTAAGAAGTAAGCTTTCTCATCGTCACAGAGCAACAGATACTGGGACGTTGCAAGGAAAGAGCACAATTAATGTTTGCCCCGACCGAGACAAGTATTAACTATATTTTGTTCGTGCTGCAAGGGTACACGACAGCGCGTCTTGATATAACGCACTTTGCGATTGGCCAGACAGGAAGTGGTAACCGATAATTTGTTGGAGCAACACCGTCTTGTTTGGTCCATACTAGATCTAAAGGTCAACGCTATTGATTTTAACTTCACGTTTGGAATGGTTGTTATATATAGTTGACTCCCGCGTACTTCGCATCTCCCACAAATGTGTCAATTGTTTATCGTGCAAAGTTAGTGAACGACGCAACACTATCGCCCATAGACTTGCGAAATTTAATTAATAGATTGATTACTAGTGATTCTGGGCGCGTCAACCGCTATGACCATTAGTCCCGTAAGTATAGTGCGTGCTTTTCTCGGGAGGTGGTGGTGATGGATAGCAAGATGGAGCTACCGTCGGCCTACCGTCGGCTAGCGAAGTTTTCCCGAACCAGGTATCTCCCATCAGCACCGCTCCTGCCGGGACAAGCTCTAAGCTCCCGAGCGTTCTCTCAGCATGTGTAGTAGTGTAGTGCATGTAAGTTTAAGTGTGTGTAAGTAACGGGTAGGAGAGGACAAGGAAAGATAGCACGTGGTCCGTGGCCCGTTTGGATGGGTACTGCTCCGGCATTTGCCTGGTGTTGATCGAAGAAACCAACGGAAAACTACCGATCAGAGCAGCTGGCCGCTAGAATTCTCCTCCAGACAGCGACAGAACTCGACCAAGCTATCTGGCCAATGTCGAAAATCCTGCCACCGTCGAGCCTCAGTCAAGGGGACTGTAGCAACATCAGCACTATGGCTTTGCCCACATTTGCAACGGAGAACTGAAGGGCTCGCGTGTACGTAAGGGCTAGGAGAGGATAAGAAATGAGAAGGAAAGATCGCACATGGTCCGTGGCCCGTTTGGATGGGTACTGCTCCGGCATTCGCCTGGTATTGATCGAAGAAACCAACGGAGACCTATCGATCAGAGCAGCTGGCCGCTAGAATTATCCACCAGAACTCGACCTAGCTATCTGGCCAATGTCGAAAGTCGAGCCTCAGTCAAAGGGACTGCAGCAACATCAGTCGATGCCCTAAGCCACCTCTCCCGGTTTGCGCACAGTAGCTTTGCCTCCATTTGCAACGGGGGGTTGAAGGGCTCGCGCCTGACAACGGGAGCCGGCTGGGCCGGGGATCGGCAGCTGCGCGACCGCTGCGCCACCACGCGGCGTCCTCGGCGGCTGCCCTCCGCCGAGAGGGGGCCACGCGAACCCCGCCGAGCACAAAAGCCGCGGCGAGCAGGGGCTGCAGATCGGCACATGGGTCGAGGAGAAGAGTCGGGGGGGCGGACAAAGGTGGAGGGAGAGAGAGAGAGAGAGGTGGGCGCGCAGGGGCGGTCGAGGCCGGCCAAGCGATGGTATCAACAGGCGATTGGTGACGGGCGGCGGAGGGAGTAGCAATGATGCTGGGACTACGAGGCAGAGGGTGGTGGGGATAGGGATTTCGGTACGGCAATGGCAGTAGGAGACTGAGATTGGGATGTCGGTCGCCAGAGTACCTGACGTGGAGACATCAGCCGGCCGGGAAGGCGTTCGCATGGCGGTAGTAGTGATTGCAGTATGCAAGATGGCAATGCTGAGAGTAAAGGTTGTGGGGATGGAAGAGGTGGAAGCTGGCGGCGGTAGAGATGACTACAACATTATAAACGATTGCAGAAACGGGCATAGCGAAGTAGACTGTAGCGGTGACGGTTATCAATTGGTCACTATTGTACTGCAGTGATAATGGTGGAGTCAATGACGGGAAAAACGGGCAGAAATAGTAGAGATGGTAGTACCGGGACGGGAATAATGATTAGCGACTGAGGTAACGGTGGCGGCAGGAAGTGATGGCGGGATTGATGATGGTAACAGAGATGGCCATGGCAAGATGCCCAGGAGTGCAATGGTGTGGGAATGGCAGAGATGGCGGGCCACAGGGCAGCGGCGAACACGGCAGCACTGGCGCTGCGAAGCCCCTCCTTCCCACGGTCGCGGGGGGTGGGGGGTGGGGGTGGGAGCGGGCCGATGCCATCAAAGCGCGCGTTGTGCTGTCTAGCCACTGGGCGCAGAATGGCCTCCGAAAGCGCAGCAACCGCCCACGCACCCTAATGCAGCGGGCGGTCAGTGACCCACGCGGAGCTCCCGGCTGCAGGACAAACCATACGGCGCATGGACGAGATTTTTCGGACTCCTTTAATTACGCGAATGAAACGTGTCATTAAAAAGGCTTATAAGTTCGTGTACTGTCGACCCACGTGTTGCAGTTGTTGGTTGTGTTACCTGCGATAATGAAACCGAGGGTAGTTGGTTCGAGGTCTGCAGGTGCGTTGCGTTTACGTCGCATATTTGAACTGTACATCAATACATCGGTCATTACAAGAAGTGAATGGTTAGGATGATGTTATTCAACACAAGAATTTCGGAAATAAAATTAATAATTGAATATCGAGCGGAAGACATGGCTTGCGTGAACGCAGAAACAAACTTCGCCCAAAGGCTGTTTCCATTGGGCCAAAGGCTGTTGTTGCCATTTCACTGTGATACCTCGCTTGCTCATACCATTTTATATACGTGAGCCTTCGAATCGCACACATACGCATGAAAAATAAGCAATTCTTCGTAAAAGATGTCTTAAATTATGTTCGGACAAAAATATCATCTCTATGAGACATATCATTTTATGGTTAACTGTTGACTCATGCTGCAATACTATAAGTAGTGAAGTTATCGATGAAAATCGCAAAATAATGTTGAAGTGGTGGACTAGGATCTCATTATTGTGTTCTCTTGAATACAAGCGTAAACAAAGTTTCAGGTTAATAATATGATACATGAACGAAACTCACAAAATACCTCAGGAATATCTTCTCTTAACTCAAAGACATTTAATTAAATTATTCCATAATCCGAAAGACTGACCTACTTATAGAGAGATCTAAAATAAAGTTTTCTCATTTCTGTTAACGACCATTTCAACTGAAAGATGTTTGAAATAAAACTTGTAGAAATCACGATGTTCTGAACTTTTGTGACGACATTAACTTGTTTAAACTCATCCTCGGAGGGCAATCAAGAAAATATTCGCGGAAATGACTGAGACCTAGAATGTATTACGACTAAGAGACGAAGTATTTCTTTCTAGAAGACGACTTACGATTCGGGTGAGCCAGGCAAGCAAGCCCAATGAAGTTACCAAATGGCAAGTTTTATTAAAATCGAAAAATGGTTCGCGTTTTTATATCTAATTTGACGACGTATTTTCATATTAATCTTAACTAAAATATAAATAAACGAAAAGTGTCTGAATCAGTCGATTTTCTTGAAATAAAATTTAGTTATAATATTCAAATTTCATCTCGGCTAAATCTTGAAATAACTTACAATACATAAGTATTATGTAACTGTTTATAAATAGAATTACTATACATTGATTTCTATTGGAAAAACAATTTATCCACTTCTACAACAGGAGAGTATACGAGAAGGGTATACTCAGTATTTTTCCTTATCCCGATGAATATAATGAAGTAAATTCCATTAACATGAATAAATGTGGTGGTATAACTTACGGTGTTTCCTTAAAACAAATATCAAAACGTTGCTCTTCACTACTTGTTAAAACATACTAAAGAGTAAAGACAATACCCTCCAAATTTTGGCTTCTATCGCTCTAAAATTGAATACCAACGAAATAATCCATAGAGCAAGAAAATGGCGCAAGGAAAAGGGAAAAATTTGGAGAAATTAAAAAATAAGAAAAAAAACGACTACCAACAAACACCTTCAATCTCTCCAACCAACAATCTCAGGAAAAATATGAGAAAAAAAGAAAAAAACTTTCGAATATCAGACACTCTTTAACGTAATCATAACACTCGTAACGTAACCATAATTTAACAGTAGAATCTGTACTCACCAACGTAGACAGCTGTGCTATTTTGCGCTGGATCATAGGGGCATAACGCTTGCCCGTTTTTCTCTCTCTCCACCACATAACCAGAACTCTGAAAGAGAAAAAAGTTGAGTAAGTGCGTTGACAAGACGATATCGATGATGATCAATAATGACCATACACTCCCCCTTACATATGATGTAGTATAAATAATACTGAACTCTGTATATTCGTTCACTAATAAAGATATATTGTAATAAAAAAAAACACTGCTCCCCCAAAAATCGCAGTAAAATTTATATTTCCAATCTAGAAGTATATTTCAACTAAATAGATGCAATGAATGGTATTTTTTAAATTAAATAAAATCGTAAACGTGGACATATTTCAAGAAGTTTTTTGTGTAAAAGTGTATTCACAGTCACACTCTATGAAATTTTAAATATTATGAAGTAAAAAGTTGAGAAAATACGCACTTCAAATACCTTTAATTCAACTATCTGTTTTAATTGATAACGATTGCGACAACACTGTTGTTCACTTCTACATTGCACATCTATAATTAACGATAGTTGTACTTTCATTTTCAACATATCCAAGGGATTATGCATTGTTCGATGATCTATTCTATTTAACTTAACAACCAAATTGAATCCCACAGCAATGATATACTTATACAGCATTAAAATGGGAAACACATTTCCAATAAATTACGTTAAATTATTAGAGATTATCATATACAGATTATACAGTATTATGATAAATTAACATCTACGTTATGCATGCTATATGAGTTTCACCCTACTAATGAAGATATACACTCCATGATATGAATCATTAGATTCAAATAAATAGATTATCTACTGCATTGTCAACGCTTTGACAACGTTGGAAATATTGTATTACCAGCTATACTAGTTTCAACTTACAGATGATATTCCTTTAAGCAACGTTTACATCGGGTGTGAATAAGACATTTTCACGGGAACAAGTACAGAATTATAAACGTTTAAAAAGTGAGAACACGCAAAGGAGGTCAAAACAACATTTAAACAAATTTCACTGTTTTTTAGTGCTTATTAATGTTAAATAATTCTGGGTAAAAGTGATGTACATGAAAGATAGTCTTTTGCATTTCGGCTAACATTCATGACAGTGTGGGAGCAATATCTAATTGGTGTCGTAAAAAAGTACGTCAGATTTCTTTCTACAACGAAAGAACCACTGAGGATCTCAAATATTCCTCTAATACACCACAAATGCTGACACAGTAGTAAGAATGTATGTAATAAGTACTAATTTAGTCTTCTTACAATTCGTTACAGACCATTTTTGCATTGCTAGCAACATGGCGCAAGAAATTTTATTCACTGTCTGTCTTACCTCATAAATACGTATTTTTCTAGCTTATAAAACTTTCAAGTAATATTAGAATTCAAAGCACATGATAGAGGGAATGGCATGCACTAATATTAGGAGATACATTACATCACACTGGCACGTGTACACAACTGATTAACCTCGACTTTTGTAGCGGTTTGTTATTAATACCTAGCGTATATACAACTTTCATGACGAAGAAAAATTAAATTTTATTACAGTCTCACGAAAACTGCAAGCCAGAAAAATTAAGCACGTAAGTCACGCAAGGTTCCGTAGCATTATAAGTTTGGATGATTAATATGAAGAAATAAACTACTTCATAAATTTCGTTCTCGCTCATGAAAAACGAATTAAATTCTTGTGAAAATGGAATACATGCTCACAGTATGAAGCATTAAAAATACAGATTTAATTAGACAGCGTTCAAAATATTCAAACAGATTCATCAAGTGAAAAGAGAATGTTTTATAATATTCAATATTTGCTATGCTTAGGTTCTTGCGTAAAATATTTGATAATTCGATAAAGATTTGCAGCGATTTTTGTAATTACGTGCTTTCTAAATCAAGAGCGAAAGCATTATTTATAATGCTTTCGCTCTTGATTTAGAAAGCACGTAATAACAAAAATTGCTGTCGTAAATACATATGCTATTTCATTCTCGTTATGGTCTCCATAATTAAATGATGTGATAAAAGAAAGAATAATTTTTGTGATTATAAAAAATAAATTACACATATAGAAAACACAAAACCATTCTAAAACTCGTGGCAAGAATTGTCTTTTGTTTTTAAAATGAAATGTTAAAGAATACATTTTGTTACAAAATAGCAAGTGTCATTTATATTCATCTGTGTGTGGTCGTGTGGATTTAGTGGAAGTATTGAAGCTACTTAGCAGTATACCAAACTGCTATTGAAATAAGTTTATGCCAGGCGGTTTCCAAGAGATGATGAGCACATTGTGAAGACTAAACCAAGCAGTGACTCATACATATCAATAAATGTTATTTAAAACAATTAACTTTGTGATTGAAGCGTAAGACGATTCAAGATCTGAGGATGTACAGGGGAGAAAGTATCAATGTTCATTGGTCAAAAAAGAAGAGGACACGTGATATTATACGAGTGCAAGAGGTAAACTATTTTTTTCCTACCCGCTAGTAGTGCCTGGTGTACTGTACTCGAGGTCACGCTTTCCGAGATTTACCCTCTTCCTCTCGACTAGCGAAGACCCCCGAAGAAAAAATAGAACAAAAAGCTCTTCCCGCGCAGCTCGCGTCGGAATGAGTCGCGGTTCGTCACAAAGCGAGGGCGTTGCGGGGCGGCCTCTGCCCCTCTCTTCCCCACCCCTGAGCTCCTTTGCGGCGCCCTGCCGCTCTCCCCCTCCTCCACCGCGAGGCCGCCGTCATCGAGAAGCAAGTGGCTTCGTCAAGCGCCCCCGGAGCAGAGCCGCTCCAGGTCCCTTCAGACCTCCTCCTCCTCTTCCCCCTCTTCCGCCTCCGCCGCCGCCTCCGCCGCCTCGTATTCCACCTGCTCCTCCTTCTCCGCCTCCTCCTCCTCCTCTCCGCAAACTCTCCGCCTCCTCTTCCTCCTCCTCCGCCGCCGCCTCCTCCTTCTCTCTGCCTCCTCCTCCACCACTGTCGCCGCCTCCCCCTCCTCCTCCTCTCCGTCTCTTCCTCCTCCTCCTCTTCTTCCTCCTCCTCCTCCTCTCTGCCTCCTCTTCCTCTCTGTCTCCTCCTCCTCTCTGCCTCCTCCTCCTCTCTGCCTCCTCCTCCTCTCTGCCTCCTCCTCCTCTCTGCCTCCTCCTCTTCCTCCTCCTTTCTGCCTCTTTCCTCCTCCTCCTCTCTGCCTCTTCCTCCTCTTCCTGCTCCTCCGCCTCCGTCGCCTCCACCTCCTCCTCCTCCTCTTCCTCCTCCTCCACCCAGGGTGTCTCAGATGCGCGCCGCTGCAGGAAAGAGAAAGACGACGGCGTGGAGAGGATGGTTATAATGTAGATTATGTATGAGGGTCACTCCAAAAGTAATACACTACCATTTTTTTAACATTCAACTTATTCTCCGCCCTTTTCTTGCTTTTACAGTATGTTCATCCATTCTTGAGGAACTAAAAAGTAACTTCTCCGCATTACCTCCCTCTCTGTCTACTGCCTTACGACACATTTGAAGAAGAGCATGTACACTCGTAGGTAGGAGCCTGGAACAACACGCCAGAGCCACTGTTTGGCTTAGTCTTCACAATGAGCTCATCATCTTTTGGAACCCGCCTGACAGAAACCTTTTTCAATAGCAGTTCTTTCCATACTCTTCCCATATTCGCTTCTCCTATACCCACTTTCATTGACTGTTCTTTAATGGTTATACTTTTGTCATCCAAAATGAGGTTGAGAAAGTGCTGCACATTGTCAGGGGAGTGTGAAGAGCGAGGGAGATTCTGAGCAATCGATTCACCAGGTAATCTGGAATCCCATCGACTAACTGCCCTGTGATCAAAAGCGTAATCTCCATTCACATAGTACACAAAGCATAATCTCCATTCACAGCAGTAAACATAGCGTTTTACTGAGTACGGCAGAAGGTTGCAGAGGACGTAATTAAGTGAGAGTGGAAGCTACGGAGACGGGGATTTATTTCGCACTGAACCACAAAGTAATTTCTCTAGTTCCAAACAGAGAAGAAACTCTTCGACGAAACCCGAGATTGACTCGTCTATTGCAATATTCCAACATGCAATGAAATTATGTTCAGCCTTCTGTGGTACTCATCTTCCATTGAAAGCTTGTTTTCTCTGTACTATCCTATTTCTTCTTCGACAGCTGTGGAAATGCACTGAAGCGAATTTATATCTCTTTCCAACCTCAAGTTATGAATTTTCCTAGAAAAGAAATTTGAAAGCGAAAGCGGTGTTGTAACTTGAGAGCAAGCTTCTGCAGAAATTACGCTGTAACTTGATTAAGAGAAAACTTTATTTATTTATATTTGAAAAGTGTCTCGTTTCGAGTTGATCCCCTCAGGGTGTGTTGTTTTGTGACGACTCGAGATTGATTTCATGTTGGCATGCACGAAACAACCCACAGTTTTCGTTCTACGATTTCGAATGTGAGAATGAAAAGATTTTTAAATATTACTGAAGTACTTTTGAACGTTAAAGTAAATTCAAATAATATTTCCTGCATCGTAAGTAGCCCACGTATACCCACGTATTATAACAACTATCATAATTTCTATTAAAAATAAAAGAGAATCTCATACAAAATATAAGTGAATAAAAAGGATATATCAATTAAGTAGAAAACCATATTTACTCACTAGAATATTATCCATGCATTATTAATATATTTCATTAAATTAATATAAACAATGAAGAGTGAGCAGAAAGAGATTGTAATTCAGGGAAAAAAGAAACACTTTATTTTAAAGAAAAAAAATGTTGGAAGAGTAGTTTTTACAGTAAATGAGAATGTTTGCTCAGTAAACAGCAGACAACGCACTCACCTGTATGGAGTAGTCGCGACACACGGGCTTGAAAGAATTGGTGCCGCAGACGAGATAGCGGCCAGCTCCTGTTCGTGCCAGGATGCGAATGTAGTTCTGGCAATTCTCCTGCAACAAAAAAAAAAATAATTTCAAATGTTAAGAATGTCCAAGACAATTGCGCCGAAATAATATGCCACAAAAATATTAATGTGAACCGGCAGAAAATTTAGATCCGCCCAGAGCTGATTACATGAAAATGAGAGTGGATGGTAGATTTCTTGCAAATATATTATATATATATAATATATATATATATATATATATATATATATATATAGGTATCGTGGACAGTATGATTACCGTACGTATTATGTATTATATTTTAAAATCATGTTGTTGCCTGTAAAACTATAATATTATATTATTAATAGGTTTAGTATTTAACTGTGTTCACTAATAAATATATCACAAATCAATTATGAACAAAGTATCTGAAACCAGCTTAAACGAGACAAAGACTTGCGATCATTTCTAATTTTCAAAAAACGAGAAATTCTTTAAAACTTATTAAATATTATGTGACTTGTTATCCCATGCGATCATCACCGATAACAAAAATCCAAACAGCAAGGCGCCTGTCAACTGCACACAGCAACCTGCAAATTCTCAGAACCGCATTGGCGGAGCGTCCACAAGGCGCCGTTATCTTCCGCCGCATCCACCTCACTCACATCCTGCATGCGTCGCTCATCGCCGCTCGATTCCAGGAACGTTTTTCAGCATCGCGCGTCCTAGACCACCCAATCGGCTTGCGGGCCGTCGAAGGCTACCAGCTGTCTCTTCCCAGGCCTCAGCAGGCGCCGCCGCCGCTGTACCCCAGCCCCCCAACGCGGGGTACGGGGGCCGGGGCGGCGCGCTCTCCGGCCATGCGGTGATTTATAGGGTGGCCAAACAGCAGGCGCGGTGCGGGGGCGGGAGGGACGGTAGCGAGTGGTACGGTGAGGGGGCAGGGACGGGCAGTGCGGAGAGAGAAAGCGGCGAGGCCGTGGCCGGCCTGGGGCGGGGTGGGCGGTGGGGAGCGCTAAGAGCGGTGGAAGGTACGGTGACGGGGCGCAGGCGACAGAGGAGGGGGAAAGCCGGAAGGCCGTAGCCGGTCCTGGGCGGGTGGGCGGTGGAGAGGCCTAACAGCGGTGGAAGGTACGGTGAGGGGCAGGCGGCGGACAGTGTCGGAGGGAGGGAAGGCGAGGCCGTAGCGGCCTGGCGGGGCGGGGGTGCGCGGTGTTGAGGCGTGTCGGGACGGAAGAGCGGAGCGAGGGTGGCAGATAGGCGCGTCGCCTGCTTGGATCCCCGAGGGGCGAACGAAGATGGCGCCGGGGCGATACCGCGCGGAGGTACCTCGTCTGCGGGGCGGAAGGGGATGAGGAGGGGGAGGGGAAATCCTCCCCCGCCCACGCGGCCACCGACGTCGGCCGTACAATGCGGAGCGATGCGTGTGCCGATTACAATGCGTGGAGGCGAAGCGGGGGTGAGCGGGGCGGAAAGAGGCAAAGGAGAGACGTTAGTGCGGACGTGGGACGGCGACTTCCAAAGAGACTTCCTCGAACCGCTGGTCGACCACCGCGGAATCAATTGATGTCACTGCAGTGCCTCTGACCGGAAGGTCCTGAGGTTCCTGTCCCGACACTGGCAGGATTTTCGAATTCAGCCTCTGCCTGGAGGAGAATTCTAACGGACGGCTGTTCTGATCAGTAATTTCCATGCTTTCTCATATCAACACCAGGCGGAAGCCCAGGCGAAAGCAGTATCCTAACAATGGGCAACGGGCCGAGAGTTTGATCCTAAAGTACGAGCGCCTTCCAATCATTTCGATTTTGATTGTGATAAAAACGAGAGATCAAGTTTGCATAAGGATGATATTTTTCTTCACAAATAGGATATCCACAACCTGGGATTACGAGTTTATCTTTCCTTCTAAAGAGTCTGCGACAGGTATATTTTTAGCACCATAAATAATGTTTATTTAGTCGGAATCAATCACTGTCAATATAAGGAGAATTTAAGTTAATGGAAGACGTGATAAAATTTGCCTCTGTCGTTATCATATTATCCATATATTCAGTATGAATGAATGTAAGTAAATGAACAAGAATTATGTAGGTTTCAAATTTAAGTCAAACATATCCTTCTACATTAGTGTTTTGATACTATCTATTTTCCTATTACCATTTCATGAATTCAACCGTGAGAGAAAAAATCTGCACACGCAAACGCAAATTTAGTTTGCTGTTCATTGAGCGCATACGAGTACTAACGCCTCTACAGAACATTCTGATACACACAATTTACAAGAATAGGCTAAACTGGCCGCCCTGCGAATTACCTAAAACCTGAGATGTTTAAAACTACAGTCACGACTAAACTGATTTCATCAAATTTAATAATTTTATTTTTGGTTTCCCAAATCAGTCTGACATGAACATTTCTGACTTTAATTTACAGATAATATTTATAATAAATTCGAGAACATTATGAAAAGAATATGTCACTTAAGCAGATGCTGTCTTACGATGTAAAAATGACTTATAACTGACTTATGATGTATGTATGGTATATAAACTTATTGATATTGACTGACTTATGAAGAAGTATGATGTAGAAAAGTACTAAACGGACACCAATAATAAACAAAAACACATAAGTAAATGTAAATGTATGTAATCTATGTTAAAAATGAATAGGAAAACGATGGCAATTGAAACTGAAAAAAAATACAAAGTGAATCTGAAAACTCAATTATTAAAATTCTTTAGTTTCGCTCTGAAATATGTCTGCCGGCGTAATGTAAACGACGTGTCGCAATTGTTTCTTGCTAACTCGACGCTGCACAATGAGACCCTTTTTAATATTTTATTTCCCATCTCACGAATTCACAACACGTAATGAAACCATGTTTTTCAAAATCCCTGGCCGTATTCCGAAACGTATTTTTCAACCCGTTGGGAAATGCAGACGTACACATGGTAACGGAACATGTGTATGAAGTTATTTAAAATCTCCATCCACCGGAACGGGCGACAGGCGGAGACTTTCGATGCACTTTTTTTTGCGTTCCCATCACTACCCGGCCCGCGTTAATTTTGGCCGAACTGCACACACACGAGATCGCTAACGACTCCGAATGGTTTGAAACTGCTCTGCTGGAAACCGTTATAGAGAGATCGATACAAAATGTGCTCCACGTGAGCGGTAATTTTGCTTGTTCCATTCAAACAATCGTTTGTGTATTTAGGCTCCGGTAAAATAACAATATTGCTAACTTATTTGAACTTGTTGCGATCACACAATCGATGAAGTGCGTTTGTTATGTTATGCTGCGTGGCAAGAGCTGAGTTTTTCATAATTCCAACACCTACGATAGGTGAATTATTTCTAGGTGATTCATTTCGCAATGAACGCATCTAACCCATGTTGCCTTCATGAAAAATGCCATCACTAAATGATATAAAACAGAAAAAAATAGAAAGGAGAGATGAAAAGTTACTGTTATCATAAAACATCTTGAACTAGAAATGTCATATATTTGTTTACTAGTCGCAATTTTATTTGCGAGAAGAATTTTAACATGGCCATTATGTAAGTGGTAATAGCAAAAACAAGGAATAATCACAACAGAAACAAAACGGAAACAATGATATGCTCATAGGAGACACAAACAAAACGGAAACAAGGATATGCTGCCAGTCCGGGTGGCCGAGATCGGCCGTAAGACAGTAGTGCTGTAGCGACCTCAGACTGAAGGATCGCGGGTTCGAGTCCCGCCTCGGGCATAGTTGTATTGTGTTCGTCCTATCACCGCCTATCATCATATCGTGTCATCCACATTGTTACCATACCGTTACACGCAATAGTGGTCACTAATGACCTCGAAGTTCATGCGACCTTAAATAAGGTAAAAAAAGCTCATGAAATAAGAGAAAGGTACATCGTGATTTCATTTTTGCGATCAAAAGGGACATAATTTTGACACCCTTCGCACAAGGGACAGCGCACGTCGGCACAGTTTACAACTTGCGCCGGCGATGGCGCCAGCGTCGTCGCATGGCCGCGTGCCCAGACGCTTCAAGTCGCGAAGCCCCGCTCCCGCCCGCCCGCCTTCATGAAACTTCGCCCAACTGACGATCGCCTCTTTCAGCGCGGCCTCCACAATTTCCAGCGATTTCTGTTTTTATTGCGCTCGCTCGGGCGTCCCCCCTCTTTTCATCTTCCCGTCTGAACCTCACGGGGGAGGGGGAGAGGGGCGGCAGCGGCTGGCGCGGGCGGGCGACGCCTCGGGGCCTGGGGCAGACGTCGCGACGTAGAGGGCCACGAGGCGGAGACAGCAACGGGGAGCGAGAGGTGCCGGTTGGCGGGGGAGGAGGGCTGCGACAACGCCGATTACGGCTGTGTGGGAGACTGGCTGCGAAGGCAAACGCTCTGTTCTACGGTGATGAGAGACAGATGAATGATGGGTGTCTCTACGGTGCGCATGGCGATGTCATTCTTGAAGGGTGATTCTGAGCTACAGTAAGGACACAGAATGCGAAGAGAGTAGTATAATGAGGACGATTAGAGGGGTGCAGGAGATGAAGTTGGCGAAGGAGAGAGAAAATATGATAAAAAAAATGAGGACTGTAAGCGCAATTAAGACACTGACAGCGATGAGGACAGTGAATACGGAAGGCAAGAAATGACAGAGCGGACAGTAACGATCAGAGCGAGGAAGTTACAACCCTGCGCGAAGATGTGAGTGAGAAAAACGGAAATGAAAAGGGACATCAAAAGCAAACTTAACTGGGACTCCGAGGACAATGGCAGCAGGGAGAGAAGACAGTTGATGGAGGTGGCGTGGGGAAGGATGCGGCAGAGAAGGAAAGGAAGCGAGGTAGCAAAGATCGCCGTCCATGACATGCGCTCCCCAGAGAGACGGCGATAAAAGGGAGAAGAAGAAGAAGATTCAATTGAACGCCAACTTACGCGGGGCGTCCAGCGGAGGCAGGGAGCCGGGGAGGAGAGAGGCGTTATTGGATTGAATACCATTACAGGTCGCGCCACCGCCGCTGCCGCCGCCGCCATTTCAGATTTCGAAC